GCATAGTGAGACCAGTGCTGATCACATCAGTAAAAATCCATCCTTAGTTTAGAAACATAAACTGTCATGAAGGACCAAGACAAGAAAATTGTTCTCAAGTTTATACATGCTGAAATTAAAGAGCCAAATAAACAAACAGGGACAGACAAAAGGCTCATAGGCCAATGCAGTAGAAATCTTCTGTTTCCATTAAGATGTGGCAATATATGTGTTTCAGCAGTACAGATAGCTTAGGAGGACTGGAAATCACATATACCCAATAACTTGACTGATATGACATTGAAGTAAGTCCCACCCCCATATGTCTTCCTACCAGAATCACTGGGTTAAATGCAAAGTGAGCTCAAACAGCATTAGCATGCAAAAATGCTCAAGAAGTGCTTGGGATGCCAAGTAAACTGGTGTATGGTAGTCCTAATACTGCTTGGAAACTGTAAGTCAGTGTTAAATAACATTTCATTTTAGATGTTAAAAATACAGCATGTTTTATCAAAACCTTAATATCCAGGTTGCAGTTTATAAAATCTAGTATGCTTCAGTAAGGTTTTTGTTTGTTTGGTTGGTTTTTGTTATCCATCTTCAAGATGACATAAGAAGTGTATTTGTTTGGTAACAGGCAGACAAGGTTATTGGTTTGATAATATATCTTTTACTGGATCAACAATAGAGTGGGGAGAAATTTATTATACAAGCTTTTGGACACAAATGCCTTTCCTCAGGTCTAGCTCAAATGAAGGATATTCTGTGCACCAAAGCTTGTCTAACTTCTCTTCCCACTATATAGTTTGTCCAATAAGAAGTAAGACCAGAGAAATCCTGATTCTCACCTATTCCTGAACCACCACGGCTACAACACTGCTTGAACACTATACCACAGGTGACCAATCATAAAGGCCTACCCATTCTAAAATAAGCTTTTTTGGTCCACAGACATGTATTAACAACTTTGCTAATAAATAAGTGAATGCTTCAGTTTGTACACCTTGCAGAAATCTATCCATTGACATCAGAAGGAGTTGGACTGGATCCCAAATTCAGTGACAATTTATTCAGGGCACTAACTGGGACATAAAAAGATTTGCTTTAGGAACATCTCCTTACAAAACCCATGGTAAAAAGTTTAGGAGTTTCTTAAAATGAATGGTGTAAGTGACCCATAGCCTTATACTTTATTTTTATATACCTTGAAGATATTCTAAGTGAAAGCCAAAAACCTTTTTAGGTGATTATATTATGTAGCACCTTCTTTGACCTGGGTTGTAGTCATACCAAGTGTTTTGTCACAGACGATTACCCTTTAGCAGGCCTGCCTGCCAACATGATTTGAACTTTCTTAAATTATAAGTCACCCTGACATCAAAATCAATTTCCCACCATGACAAAAATGTTTAGGCTTTCAAATGCATTGGTTTGAAAATTAAAAGATCTAAGAATACAATAGTAACAGAAGCCTACTCACCTGGGTCTGTAAAAGCAGTAAGGCAAGTATCGAGTTTCTACCTTCTTAGCCTGAATGAATATCTTCATCCTTGGGTCAAAATACAATACAGCTGTATAGGCTCTGAGTGACCATTTTTCTGGAAGGCTGTTATATCCCAAAATTTTAAAAAAAGTAAGAAACATTATTTTGAGGACAAAGAGCATGAACTCTATTAGGTGGGGAAAATGAGATGCATAATAAACTAAGGCAACATGCTCTCACCCAGAGTCATTAAACTAAAATATGGTGCATGCTGTAGAACACTTTTTGAAGATTTTCTCCAGATTAAGTTTGTCCGAACTTTGCCAATCAACTTCAATTTGTTCAAATACACTAGGCTTCAGCTGACAGAGTGAACACAACGCCAAGTGTATCCGGCTGAAAATGAGGTTCATAATGGGATGCTACTGCCAATGCAGAATGAAAATCTAGCTGAAAATAAGGATTTAATGCCACATAGTGGGCTCTTCAAGGACAGCTACGCCACTGAATCTGTCCTCCACAGCTCTTCCTGTTGTGATTTACTGGTTTCTCCACAGCTCTTCCTGTTGTGATTTGGGAAGGATTCTTACCCTGGAGGAGTAACTGGTATATGGGCCCCTAGGCTACACATAGTGTAGGATGAGAAGCAACCTTTTGACCAACTGCCTTTTGGGAACACAGGATGTAGCAGGAAGCCAACAAGAAGACAAGCTCCATTTCCTAGCAAAGGGCAGTGCAAAGTTGGGAGCCCAGGGCCACAAGTCAAGAAACAGCTCAGGGTCTAGGGAAGGATTTAATGAAGTACCACTCATGTAAGATACTAAAACAACTGAGACAATGCCGTACTCTAGCCAAAAAAAAATATTTACAACAAGGTTTTGAGGATGCTTTAGTAGTCTGGACAGCCCTCCTTGCTCCATACTGTTAAGTGTGATTGGTGTTTTTTGTCATCCTGCTCCACTCCCCAGCAGGGGCTGTAATCCTGCTGCTTCATCATCCTTTGACTTTCTGCTCACTTTTGCATGCAGTCAGGTTCTCTCTTTTTCCCACATGAAGCACTAAGGATAACTGAAGGAGGCATGCCCTACTTCTCTACTTAGAGATCTCTGGTGCTTGTGTACCAATTAGCCATTATTTTTCCAGTTACAAAGCTCAGGGCTTACAATATCAATCCTATTTCTGCTGTGCTCAGACAGAAGCACTGACTCTTCTACACTTTCCTCATGATTCTCTTTTCAAAGTGTCTGTTCCTTTTTTAGATCTACACATCCATCCTTTGCCTCCAGATCCTTTCCCCCTCTGACATAATTTCTAACGGAGCCCTTCAATTCAGTATCAGGATTTATTTATTGTTTCGGGTGCTCTCTCTCTCTCTGGTTTGCAGACTTTTTAACCCAAATACTACTCTTAATTATCTACATATGTTATAATGAAAGCTTCATCTATACTACTAACACTGGAGACTTCCTATGAAAAAAAATATTTTAAGTTAAATTATTCATTTTAATTAAAATGTGCTCACACTAATTTTCAGGATTACTTTTACTGCTGTCTGCCAAATGTACACATTAAATAGTTCTGTCTGCTAAAATAATTTTTATTTCACTTGCATTGAAAATGAAGTGTAATAAGAGATGCATTTTTAATTGTGACTAATCTAAATTGATTTAGTCCCAAGAACTCTCAAGTCTCTAAATTTTTAAGTAACTTTAAAAGTATTGCATCATTAATTTTTGTTTTACGTAAAGTGTGCAACAAAACAATGGACAAAAGATGAAAATCTGGTCATAAATACAAAAAAATAGCATTTGGAAATCAATTATATACATTTATTCAATTTTTTTCAGTCTGTGTTATGCATACTATTTACCCACAGATTACAGAAGGTAAACTTTTTTCAGTGACCCCCAAGTTTGTAGTATAACCCAATTACTATGAACTATCAACCCTGGGATTTTCAAAAAATTGCTTTTAATGATTGTCACTGCCCAAGAAATATTAGAAAAAAGAAAAGTAATCATCACGTTTGATCTTCCTTGTCTTAAAATACCAGCTGACACCTGGCTGACACTGTTGACTTAGTTAACTTTGCAGAAATTAACTGTAAATATTTTTTTGTGGTCTCCACACAGTGGATAGGTTGGAAACAGTCTGTCCTAAGTCAAGTATTCTCTAACTCCAGTGTGTATCTCTTGCTCTAGGAGTAGAAACCACTTTTTGTTATTATTTGTTGCTAGGACTGATTGACATTCCCTTGATGCCATAACCAAGCACCTGTGTGTAGCAAAGTAGCATGTCCATTCTTTAAAGCCTGAACAGAGGACAGAACATGTTTAGAGACTATACAGTCTGTCTTGTGGATTATCTATCCTTTTTTCTTATGCAAAGACTCAAGTCATCCATGCTATTTACCCAAATATGCCATATGTGCCTTTAGATCATGTGTTCTCCCAACAGCATTCACCCGCACTTCGCTTGTCCTATGGTCTTTCTTCTGAATAGGAATCCCTCTATTCTTTTTTCAAATCCAAATAAATTAACAGTTGGCCAATAAAATATTTTAGCGGTATATGGTATCAATTAAAGATATATAGTCTACACATCTAATCCAATAACATAGCTACTTAACACTTACTTGTCAGGAAGACCAGCAATAAGCATGTCTGTATTATTTGTTTTAATATCTAGCTCTGGCTCTCCATTCAGCATAAGCTTCAAGTTGTAAATAATTATTAAAGTTCCTGAAGAAAAACAAAAATATATACAACTTCTAAACCAAATATTTTAACGGATACTTTCAGGTGTTTCTTTCCATTTTAAAGATTGACAGTCAAGTCCAAACAGTATGCACAGAATCATAGGAAGCACTATCATTTCTGTGACCTCCTTTAATTTAAATAAAAAGGAAGGCAAATTGATATTCGCAGAACCCAATTCTAGAGGTCCTAAACCTAAGAAAGGTTTGGAGCAGGTCTTATTGTGTTGGTGTCCAATATTATTGTGGCAGGATGGCCAGTGGGCTCACTGGCAGCCCGGATTGTTAGCTTGAGCCTGAATTGCCTGGGATCCATTGGTGGAGGCAATTTTTCCTTCCCCACCAACCAGGGGAAGGCAGGAGGAAGACAGCCCTACCCTGACCCAGGGGTGAGGTGAAAGAGAGGATCTGAGAGGGAACTAACACCTTGGGCTTCCTCACTGGTCCATTCCCAATCTGGGGCAGAACCTCTAGAGGGAATAAAAGCTTGTGTACTGAGCACACGGGTTGCTTCTATGAGAGGGACGATGAAGATGAGGGCTGCAGAAGAGCTGGTAGAGCTGACCAGGGGGGCGGAGCCATTGCCCCAGAAGTGCCCTGAAGATGCCTCTGGCAAGGGAGAAGCAGCAGGCAGTTGCATCTCAGCTGCCATAGGAAGAAGGCAGCAATGGTGCATGGGACGATGCACAGAGGGTCTGGAGGACAGACGGGACCTCGACGGCTGCACAAGGCAGCGCAGGTCCCCAACCCTGCACGAGGAAGGAGCCCAGCCCCTTTGGTGGAGAGAGCTGTGCATGGGGCTTGGTGAGCTGAAGGGATGCCATGGCTGCATGATGCAGTGTGGGTCCCCAGCCCTGCATGAGGCAGGAGCCCTCAGTGCACAGGGCTGGTGGAGATGAAGGGGCCGCAGCAGCTGCACAGGGCAGTGCAGGTCCCCAACCTTGCACAAGGTGGAGCCCTCAGTGCACGAGTCAATGCACAGGGCTAGAAAGGATCTGGGAGAGCTGAACTGAAGGGACTGCTGTGGCTGCAGAGCCCTCAGTGTACAGACTGGTGCATAGAGCTGGAGAGCTGATGGGATTCCAGGACTGCATGAGGCAGCCTGGGTTCCTATACCTGCAAACGGCAGGGGTATCACAGTGCATGGATCAGTGCACGGAGCCAAAGCAGAACTGAAGGGACTCCATGGCTGCACAAGGCAGCGCGGGCCTGTATCCCTGCAGGAGGCAGAGACCAGTAGGCCCTAGTAGCTGCATGAGGTAGCTGGTGCTTTTCCACTGTGAGCAGCAGCTGGGTGAAGCCACGGGTCCCTGGCAAGGTGGGAGTTTTGACCAGCCCACCCAGAGAGAGATGAGCCAAATTCCAGCAGAGGGCCAAAGAGCCATGAGTGCCTGGGTAGGGGGATCAGGGCCCACATAGGGAAAGAGACAAAGGTCTCCACAGGGGAGGCGTGGCCGCAGTACTCGGGGGACGTTTTGTGTCCCTGGAGTCCAGCCAGTTCAGGGCCCATGGGGCAATTAATATAGTACTTTTGGGGTCACTTGTTTTCCCCTTGGTATTGCTCCTCTATGCAGGGTGATTATTGTGCCGTTGTTGATTTTGGATGGTAACTGTTAAGGTTTATGTAAATAGTTAAGGTTGCCTGGGTCCCTATGTATATATGTGGGAAGGGCCATAAGCAGTATCCTTTACTGTTATTTAAATTCAATATTGTATCGTAAGATATTTATGTATTGCCTTGTTCTATCGACTGTTGAGCTGCTAAAATGCTATGGAGAGTTTTGTGATTATTACTTTGAATTCAAGGGGTTGCTATGCCTGGGTATGGGTTTGTATTGCAGTATCATTATTCACGTATATTCTAATCGTTGTTGAGTTCTATTTAGTGAACCTCTGTTTAACCTGGTGCCACTGTTATTTGTTTCCTCACCTGCAGCATGCGAGGCCTGGGAGTGAGGGGTTATACACCAATAAGAAGACCCCTTGGAGCCCAGGCATATATCAATAAAGCACCTCTGTTTGTTATATCCACTTATTCCTGTCCATGTATATGAGTAACAATATTTATTTGTCTTAAATGGCATAAATTTGTATATAGTTCTAGGATATATTTGTGTATATACTTAATAAGTTCTATGGGTTTTGTAAATGAAATTCTGTAAATAGCTAAATTTTACTGAATGACCACATTCTCTTCTCTGCTCTGTAAGTGGGGATGGCAGATTGGTCTAGGCCAAGCAGCCATGTTCTCAAGGCGCACACACGCACACCCCAAACATCCCTTCAATTGAATAGGAGGTACCAACTGCGTACCGCCAGGGTTACACTATATTATTAGATACAGATTAATACAGTCAGAAATAAGGAAAGGGAGAACAAAGAACTCACACTGAGGGAGAAAAAGTGATGATTTCAAGGAATCTGTCAAGTGAAATTAGAGTTAGCAAGAGACTCTTTCAGGTAGAACATGCTGCTAAGGAAAAGTCTCCTGCAAGTTTAGACTGTAAAAATATTCAGAAAATGCCAGTGAGAGAAGCAGAGGAGCACAGAGAAGAATGATTAAATGAGTGTAAAAAGACTGATCTTAAATTCACAGAATATTTAGGAATTATTTCTAGAAACTTTTTATTTATAATTTATCTATTTGATTTATATGCTGTCTCCCCCCAGTAAAGGCTCAGATTGGCTTGATGGCTTACCATAAAAAACATAGCTGAACCAGCACCAGGAAGGAGCTGCCTTCATGGCCCTGGTGCAGGAGGGCAGAGCAGGGCAGGGAGGCTCAGTGCTCCAGGGCCACCACCGCTGTTGGGAATGCCATGTTGCCATACCTGCCAAGGTGAGGCATCCCCTGCCTGCTGCCACACTGAAGGGGGCAGGAAAGGGGGGGCTGGGTGGTAGGCAAAACTCTGTGCTGCTGCCACAGCACTCCACTTTGGCAGCCATGGTGGCATGGTACTTGTGGGAGTGGTGGTGGCAGCACTGAGCCTCCCTGCCCTGCTCCACCCTCCTGCACTGCAGAGGTGGCTCCTGCCTGGTGCCAGTCCAGCCAGGTTGCAGCCCTGTACCCTGCTGTGGGCACAGAAGTCTGGGGGGTCACAAGCATTGTCTTGCAATGCACTCTCTATGGACCCAAAGCCCTCTGTGAGTGTGCATAGCAGCGGTGAGCTGCCACCCGCTCCTCCCCCTTGGGACAAGGTGCCCATGGCTTTGTCCTGCTCCCTGGCCAGCCCTGCAGCCGCACATTCCTGGCTTCTCCAGCCCTCGCCACTGCACTGGGAGGTTGGGCAGCACCCCCAGCCCTAGCTACTAACCATGCTCCACTCTCTCCCTCACTGTGCACACTCAGCATGAGCTGCTGCCACTGCCTCAGTCTCTCCACAAGTTGTGCCCCCCATGCCTCATCTGTGCCCCCCCTGCTCCTGCATGTGTCACTTATGCTCTCCACCATGCTGCTTGGCTGTATTGCCGGCCATGTGTACATGTACATGCACACATGCATGTGGCACTCCCTGCCTCTTATCACATTCCTCGCACTTGCCCCAGCCAAAGCAGCCCCTTGCAGGGTGAAACCCTGCCAACCTGTAAGGGGACCACGTCTTTAAAGGAGAAAAATTTGCGTTTTTCTACAGGCATGGACAACCTGGATCCCTGATAATAATCTAGCTTAACAAAATCATTAAAAAAGAACAGAACTGTATATGAATGCCCCATAGAAATGTGTTAAAAAAGCCAATCTAGTTTTTGTTTTGATATCAGATTGTTATGAGCATGCAAAAATTTCAATAGCTGACTCTTCAATAAATACTGAAAACCACACTGTATCCCCAGCTGAACTTCAGTATTTATGTATTTTTAAATTATTGTTCATGGCACCAATACAAATCCCATGATTAAAAAACAGGATAGTTTGGGAAGTTTACCGCTTTTCCCATAGATTGCATCAAATTGCTGCATCAATTCATCTTCGCTTGTGAAAGGGGAATATTTAAAGATGATTGACATCTGTACAGCAAATGTTGCAGCATCATGTAAAACAGGTTTTCTGGTACTTACTGACCATGAAGGGATTGGAACAATCACCTGCAAAAAATGCCATGAAAAATATTTTGGGTTATACTGAAAATTTTATATTTTAAAAGAGAGTCCAAATACTGGTCTCACAGAAGAGATGGGGGAGGCTTCTTGGAATGCTAGAGGACTGTGCTACAGCTTCTCTCAGAAGAGAAGGTGTATTGACATTTGCTCTTCCAGGAGAAACTCTCCTGTGAGTAATTTAAACCTGATTGTTTCTAGGTTATTTTTCTTCTAGAGTGGTCATTTTTGTTCTGGGAGAAAAATCCCAAACATCTGAACACTTGTGGTTTCTCCTGGGAAAGCAGCAATTCTTCCAGGAGAAACTGAATGTCTGTATGTGACCACCGAAAGTTACTAATTAAAACCAAACTGTGCTAAGAGAATTATAACTACACACATTATCAAATAGTAATTCATTTTTACTCTTTGAGGAAGAAGTCATGTGTGATATCTTCTATTATATCAGGTATTACAAACCATAGAGATACCAAACCAGTCTTTCTGCCAGATTTCTGACCTTCAGACATTTCTAGTAGGAGGTTTTATTTTAAAACATAAAGGGATTTATTCTCTTCTGTTAGCCAGGGGTACAGAAACCCCTTGCAAAGATGTCAGAGAAGAGCTCAGAAACATGTCTTTTCCTATTCCATCTGGAAGCAGTAAAATGAAGAGGCCATCTATTATTCTGCCACCTTGAAAAGACCCAAGACTAAGCCAAGCAATTTAGAAGGATAATTTGTTAGTGCCATATAACAGTAGAATGAGATAGGTTTAACATTTAAACAGAGCAGAAACTACTAGGATGACCATTTTGCCTTTAAATCCTCTCATCTGCTCCTCACTTTCAGAACTGTATACAGTTCTTCAACAGGGTGGGTAACCACACAAATCTCTATCTGTTCACTCAAATTCCACTTAGCTGTACAAACACCCCTTTAAGGTTAACAAGAAGTTAACATGTTAATAAGAAGATTCCCTAGTTAAAATAGTTTTTACTCTTATGCCCTTTTCTCCCTCCTTTTCTATAACTTTCATTTCTCTTCCTAATCAGTCCTATTCCTAGGTATTTATGGGTGCCTATAAATGAGCATGGAAGCTGCTCTGATGCACTGGATTAATGAAGTCTACTGTGTGTAGCAATTACCATGCTCTAGCAGCCTCCTACATCTTGTGTATCAGTGTCCCTGTTCTTAAAAATGGCCACCTAACCTCCACCTCCAACCCCTCCCCTCCATCTTCTCCCTCCCCCTGCAGGCAGGAGCTTCCCTTCCCACTCACAAGCTGTCCAGTCATACACCATCATGCTCAGTACCTCCACGTGGGGATCCCAGGTGGAGTGCCAGGATCCCCACAGAGGTGGAAGCACAAAGCTTGTCCAGTCCAACGGTGCATGACCTCTGAAAACCTGCTCATTCCGCCCACCAGCTTTCAGAGAGCCAGCCACAAGCCAGTAATAATTGTTTTTGGAACGACCCCACAGCCAGACAGAATGGCCTAGAAGGTTGGATCCCACCTGCAGGCTGTGTTTTGACTGCTTATCAGGTAAGTCTGCTGCATAAATATGAACTTCAGAGTTGAAATATCATTAAATGTAAATAGCGCTTAAGCAACTGGTAGAACTTCTGCCCAGTATTTTACTTGAGACTACTTTCAAGCTAGAAAAAAACAAGCAGACACATACCTCATCAAGGCCTTCTCTCTCACAGAATGTTTGAGAAAAGAGAACACATGTCATGGTATCTTCTTGCTTGGTAAATAATATGAAGTCTTTCCCTAGTCGCATAGATCCACTATAATGAAGTTAAAAAAGATGCTAGTATCACATAGTTTATTGTCAGACTAGCCAACAGAAGACACCAACAGCTGGCCCAATGGCCCTATTCTAACATGCTCAGAGTAATGTATTGCCTCTCATAGTCATGGGAGGATGGAACACAGGATAAACCAACTCTTGAAAAACTGGGAGATATTAAATAGTAAGGCTACTCATCTCCCACAGAATACTGAAAAGGGCAGCCACTTAACCAAAAAAGGCAGCCACATGTTGAAAGAAAATATTGGGGAGCCCCCCACACTCCTATGGGCTGCTCCATCTCAGCATTCGCGAGTTGCCTGGTACTTTGAGGTATGTAGAAAAAACATTTAAATCTGTGTCTATGTCTGAATTGTCAAATCTTTCCAAATCTCTCTGAATCGATTCAGAGGGTTCCGATTTGATTCGGAGAGATTAAAGGGTCTCCCGATTCGATTTGGAGATTTGGCCACTGAATCAGGCTGAATCTCCACTGAATCAAATCAGGGACTGAAGCTTTGCACAGCCCTAATAACAATATAATTATATCCATCTCTCTTAGAAAGACTCCCTAGGATACGCATGGGCAAGGACATATATGGGCTAGTCCCACACGGTAACCTTTTACTGGCCACAAAAAGCAGTGGACAATAGAACAGAGAAATTGATTTTTGTAAAATACAGCAGTGAGAACTGGACAACCACAAAACAGTGCATACTGAAAGTCTTATAAGGAACAATTCTACGTTAAACAGCAAATTTGATGATCAACCAGATTATTGTTATTAATCTCAATTCTTCCATTACTGAATGCCATTTCATTTTTAAATTCATAGAATCATAACAAATTAGGGTTGGAAGGGACCTCAGGAGGTCATCCAGTTCAATCTATTGCTCAAACCATAACCAGCCCCAAAAAGCCAAGCTTTTGTTTACTTGGGTCTTAAAAACCTGTAAAGATGGAGATTCCACAACCCTTCTGGGTAACCTGTTCCAGTTCTTTACTACCCACCTAGTAAGAAAGTTTTTCCTAATATGTACCCTAAACTTGCCTTGCTGCACCCTTGAGACCATTGCTCTTTGTTCTGTTGTCTGTGACCACTTAGGACAGTCTAGCTCCATCCTCTTCTGAATACCCCTTCAGGCAGTTGAAGGCTGTTACTAAATTCCCCTCAGCCTTCTCTTCTCCAGACTAAATAAGCCCAGTTCTCCTAGCCTCTCCTCAGAAGTTATGTTGCCCAGCCTTTTAATCATTTTCATTGCCCTCTACTGGACTTCCTCCAATTTGCTCACATCCATTTTGTAGTGGGGGCCCCAAATTAATCATTAGGTGTAGATTAAGTTTGTTAAGAAAAGAAAAACAACTATGCAAAACAGACAATCAAGAGATCAAGATTTAGATAGGACTCTTACGACTTAAGGCCATTGCCATAGCATCCAATCATCTTGGAGGCAGACTGCCGTTTAGAAGACTTTCCAAAATAAATGAGATGAGTAGCTTCCCCTGAAAGACAACATTTAAAAGTTATAGATACATACAGGGCATTTGCTAGATAACACTATAAACCTTAAAAAAAGAGAACATTTAAAAACCAATACAGCATTCACTTTGGGCTACTTTATCACATAACAAAGTATTTGTCAAGAGCCAACTTATGTTATTCACCATGGAGCAAGATATCTATCACAGTTCACCAGTTTCCCTACTCAGCTGATTCAAAATGAACATAGACAAACAACCCCTGTCCCTTGGATTCCAGCCACTGACAAAAGAATAATAATGGATTTGACAGACAAAGGGCCTAATCCAATAGCAAGTCTCAAAACTCTTTGCCTCCCCAGCTCAAGGGGCATTCTAGGGTCTTGAATCTGATGTTACACAATTAAAACAAAAATGTTGCACATTATTCTGTTTCTCTAGGTTCAATTTTTCTAAGCATCAGTATATTTAAAAAAAATGAATGAATTGATCTGAGCACCCATGCTCTCATTGTCTGTATTTTAATAAGGGAACTGAAGCATAAAAAACCAAACAGGTTTATCCAAAATTACATCAGACACCTGGCCAACTGTGAAATAAAATCCATCTTGTGATCCAGACTGTGTACTGCCACTGTCTATAGGTGAGTCCTTAAGATCTAGTACCTACTGACAGCTGCTGGAGGTAGCAAGGAATTTTCTCTCCTGGCAATGAAAGCTGGCATGTCAGATGTCATTCAAAGAATTAGACAGTAAAGCTCTCTTCCACGAAAGCCTGATGTTCTCATTCTGGGAACAGCTTATTTTCAGCACACATCAACCTAGGTTACAAGATGCCGGCTTTGTGTCATCTATTTCACATCATGTGATAACCTCCATGATAACAAATGCACTAAAATAGCTTTTTATTGACAAAGCTGCTAGGATACCTAAAAGAAAGATACAGTCATTGTTAAAGAAGCAAGAGCCACATGTTAGAAAATAGTTTTTAAAATAGTAGGAATTCCCCTCAGTGCAGTGGAGTATTTTATCTGCAAAGTTCTGAGCCATTAGCAGCAACACTGGTTAGGCAGCATTACCACACTGTAATACCCCTATGTCTCTTGTAAAATACAACAGCAAAACATATAGAATCATACTGTGTAGTCTTTGAGCCAATGAAAGTTTGCTCAGTAAAGGTCCCTTGTAAGCAAGGATCCTGTTTTTTTCTGATAAATAACCCCCTAAATTTTCTGATTAAAAAAACCTAAAATCCACATTTTTTCTGTGATTAAATGAAACACCACTATATATATAGGGCTTAACATTTTATCGATATATTTACAATTTTAAAGCAATATGGAAGCTTACCAATGCCTTGATAATTATCATAAAATGCATTCTAAACACTTACACATCTTGGCATTTAGTTTTGTTTTCTTTATCATGGAAAATCAGAGCCCTCCCTTTCCTTGTCTTAGTTATGAATGTCTCACAAGCACACTTGTATCTGTTCTTCCTGGTACACATTTTGGTCCCCTAAATATATTCTTAGCACTTGACAAGCCATAGTGCCAGGAGCACAATGCTGTTTTACAGATTCAGTTCATCAACTGCTATTTTCACTTTTCTATATGTGCCTATGACATACACTAAAGCTTGCCTTAAATTACTATTCAAGGCAACAGAACAGTACAATATTTGTTGCTTAGAAATGTGGTGTTTAGGGGAAAACTAAATTTTCATGGAAACTATAAAAGGAATGATTATGTTGTTACATTTTCAGCTCACGTTTTATCCCGAAAGGACCCAGAGGGCTTTGTGAAGAGACTGGTATGCATAACCAGCCAGGATTGCATTGAGAACTAATGAAATGCAGCCTCTAGGGTAGAATCAGATCAGTCTTACAAGTTTAAGGCATGATGTGAAGAATGCCGTGTCTAACATACACTTGAGGGGAATCTTAGGGAGGCAAAATTAGCAGAGTAATGAATCTGACCAGGACGTTGTGATGTTTTACTTAGGGCAGGTCTCTGTAACCAGTCCACTGCGATGATACACGGCCACTCCGGAACGTGTTTCTGGATCCAATATGGAGCCAATGTGAAGGGCTTGGATGCTTTACTTAGGGCAGGTCTCATCAAGGTGTGTCATGTTGCGTGTGGGGTTTTTTAAGCAGAGAATTAATAGTTAATACTGTGCCTTGGAACTCTCAAAGCTTTTAGACATGTAGTGGTGCTTATGCTGAAAAAGCAAGGCAAATATATTTTTGTAATCATCAGTATAACATTTTCCATTTCATTTCACCATGAAAAAACTTGCAGTCATTTTAGGCACAGCTTAAAAAACACTAGGATTAATTTACTCTGCCAGCAAAAATAATTAAAACAGTAAAGCACACTTGTAAGTTAAGTGCATGTCTCATTTTAACTAATGACTCCATATATACAGATCAGCTTGGTATTTTATTAGTTTATAGAACATTCCCTTTAACAACCAGTTCAGCATCTACAAAACTAACTTACTAGGGTTCATGCCGCATCCATCATCCAGAAAACACAACATAAATCCCCCTTGCAGCTGGTCATTATCTACTAAAAGAAAGAAGAAAAAAAAGCACTTGGTAATAAATACTGAACTTGGTTGGCTGGGTATTGATACCCAACGCTCACAAAAGTCATCCTTCATCAGCAAGTAGCAGATTTGATAAAATGACAAACCACTATTTTACTGTGCCTCCGATTTGCTATAATTTAGAACCATTAGCTAAGTACAAATATTCTCCACATGTTCCAGGCTGCACAGAGAAACAATGCATCAGGATATCACTTTCCAACCTAATATGGCTTCAAGAAGAAATATACAACCCTGGTCTCTGTTCAGGATCTCATGTGGAGGTCCCAGGGTCAAGGGGAATGAATAACATCATGGAAAAAATATAAATGAATGGGTAGAAGTATGCCAGCAACAGAGATCTCAGCACTGCATGAAAAAGCAGTGGTTTTCAGTTAGTCAGAAGCTTGTTGAGGTAAAGAGATTAGGTCAGATGTGCTCTAGCTTCTAGGAGGGATTAGCTGCCAGAACAACACAACTGTATGTGAGAATTCAGCTTTATGGAATAGAGTTCTCATCATAATAAAAGGGAAGATAGAGAAGAAATGTCACTTGGGTTTTTTTAACCACTCTTCAGGAGGTCTGTTCTATGCCGAGAGAAAAAACTAAAACCTGCTTTTACAGTAAAGGTTAAAAACTGCTCACTTTATTTATTTATGCTACTGGGGACTATGCTTAAAGATACAGAAGCAACATACAACATTTTATATCCTTTCAGTTCAAACCAGCAACTAGGACAGGTCAAATAGGCTTCTAGAAAGGTAAAATCAGTTTCCACAGTTAAACAGAAATACTAACTACATACAGTATTTCAAATTCCTTGAGAGCACAAAGGCAGACACCTACAATGGGACAGTCTTAGAGTAACAATCTCTTAATATTCCTTTACCTCCCAATTGTTGTCACCCCCATGTACTCACCAGTAAATATATCAAGTCGGGTGGCTCCTGCATCTCTGAAAATAAACCATACAAAATTATGGACAAAACATGAAGTCAAGGAATAGACCAGACCAATCAGTATCCCTTAAATAAAAGTTTAACTGGTCTTTGAAATGAGCAAGACTACATATATGTTTTTAATACACTTGTATCCTCCTAAGCAGGGATGTCAAAGTGGTGTGGGATTGGTCCGTGGGCAAGAATAGATCCATGGACCAGCCCTGCAGGCTGGACAGCAGGACTGCATCACTGTAGCCAGTCCAGGGTGATGATGCACGGCCACTCAGGAACGTGCTTCTGGATCCAATACAGAGCTGATGTGTGCTGCAGTGCAAGCTGTGTGCACCACAGTCCTGTAGTGGATGCCATGGGTGGCACATCCCACATATTGCCTATGTGTCAACTCCAACACCCACAGGCAGCACTAAAGGCTGTATGTTACAGCTCCATGGCTGTACCCAGGTCACAGGCTGCATCTTTGATACCCCTGCCGTAACAGAAAACGACAAACTAGGACTGAGGGCTAACAAAGCTGAACCCTTACCTAAGTGGCCTGTATGTTCCCCCTACCCCTCCTACCCTTTTTGCTTTGTCTTTAGATTACAAACCTTTTTTTTTTTTAAATTTGTGTACAGCACTCTACACCAGTGGTCTCCAAAGTGGGGTGCGCACATCCCAGGGGGTGCGCAAGACGATCCATTGGGGTGCGGGAAGAAAATATTAGAACTTCTATTTAGATGTATATTTATATAAATATACATATATTGGGGGTGTGTGCTCAAAAATTTTTACTGATGGGGTGCACGATCAAAAAAGTTTGGAGACCACTGCTCTACACAATGGAGACAGTTCTGATGGGTCCTTCGGGAATACAAATACTACTGTCAATAACACATCCCATACCAAGCTATGGATAAGTCTTTCATTAAGCACGGAAGATGCAGTAACCCAACAAAGTTTTCAAATCACCGTAGTAACCCACAGAGTAATACATTATCTCCTGCTTCAGTGTGGTTATTTATATGTAGTACATATAAACTATAATTTTAAGTTAAGTTTATGCAGCACCATTCATCTTAGAGCTATTTACAAAGGGCATATTTGAAAATTAGTTCAGGGTCACTGTCATCAGTCACCTCCGAGATGAAATGCATAGCACTTATTTATCAGCAGACCACACTAAACTACTTTGAATAAGTATTCAAAGTTGCTGCACCTGCAACTGAAACCAAAGGCTAAAAACAGATTCCTTCAAATGGAATGAACGCAAACACATCACTTTTTCCTTTAGAGCCAAATCTGGGAGGGGAGGAATGGGGGGGAGGGGAAAAATACATAAAATTTGTGTGTTCAGTGAGAGATGAAGGAAAAAAGTCTCCATAAACATGCCCTTACTCACTTGCTGTGCTCCAAAAGGAAGGCATCTCCTGAATAAATTGATAGCACCTCACTAACACTGGAGGTAACACAGAGAGTGGGAAAGAGCCCTTAACTCATGCCTTTGCAAAAAGCCATAGATTTCACTTTAACAAAGTAATCTACAGAACTAGAATAAGAACATTCCTATGGAAAAGATGTGATTTAAACTTCAAAGCCATTTGTATCCATTTGTAGCAAGCTAAGAGGGTGCTGAAGGACCCACAGCAGATGGAGCTGACCAAGAGCATGGAATCCTGTATGTCCTTCACAAGCCTTACAGAACTGTCTTTCAAGCAATCCTTTGCCAAAAAAATTTACTTTGACTGCAAGTCCTTAATGCAATATCTGTTTACTACAATCCTCCAGGAAGCATGATGAGCACTGGCTTTTAGCCAAACCATTTAGTTCACATGCATATTAGAGAAAGCTGTCATGTCAGTAGCGAAGGTTGATATCAAAAGAGACAATACGAGGATTAGGAGGTAGAAAGCATTTGAATGAAAGCTACTGAATATTTCAAGAGAAAAAAGATGCCAAGAGTGCTAGTGATGCATGAGGAAGGTCAGGAAGCTTGAACATGCCAGGGACAGTTAAAAAGAAAGCAATCATATATTCCAGATGTTTATATACAGCACACATGATTTTCATATTGCTGTCTGTGACAACTTTGTTGAAGGCACCTCAGGGACCCATCCAAGGTTTCTTCTGGGACATGTCTACACCACAGAGAACAGGGCATGATCTGATACAGAGTGCTTCAGAGGCTGGTATTTTGTTAATTGCCCACTTTTATTAACACCCAAGAACCACTGACCTGGAAGAAATTCCACATCTCAGACTAAAATGGTTAATGACAGATTTGAGAGAGGGGCTTAATTTGACACAGGCTGATTTCTGGTCACAGTTACCTCTTCCTATTTGACCCTCTAATGAAGTGATAAAGCAGTATTTGTCACAAACCTTGCCATTGCAATTCTCTGTCATTGGACATAAGATCATCATGTAGGAGACATTTGCCAATAAATATATATATTACTAAAGTATCACAAGTGTTTAATAGCACAGGGAAGAGGCAATATTAGCCAAATCATTTTTTTCTGTACTGTTCCCAATTCTGAAGTGCAATGCAGTGTAAAAATCCCTCTCTAATTGTTCAACTGTATATAGCAGTTCTCTCAATCTGTGACACATGACATATCAATGGGCAAAGTATCACTATCATCTTCTACTTCTCAAGAGGAATTTAAGAGAGATTTAATAAAGCTTCATAGTGGAAATGGTACCAGAACACATTTGCTCACATGGAAGATCAGAAAGCATTAAAATCTTCCTCCATTAGCTCCATCAATAAGCAAGATACATTTTGTGACATGCATTTGCTGACTTGACACATGACTTGATCCATTAACTTGCAAAATTTATCAGAAATGTCTCAGTTTTTACCTGGTAGTTTTACTGCAAACATTGAAAAGGAAACTGGAAATATTTTTTTCAGCTAGAAGCAGTCATTTATGGACCTTCTGGCTGCATCCAGATGGGCATGGTGCCACATATCACTAATTCCATTGATGTCTGCACTGCAAGGGTTGCAAAGTAGTTCAGAGGCTTTTTCTGACCCCAACAAACCTGCCAAAAAAAATCACAGAGTGGCGCACGTGGCGACAGTGTGCACCACCCAAGGCCAGAGCCTGGCTGGCCAGAGTTGTGCTCCACTCTTCTTCCCTCTCACTGTCCAACCACTCAGAGGATTTAATCACAAGCCAGTACTAAGCCATGCATACAGTGAGGTTTACATAATAGCACTGCAGTAAAATTCATTTTAAACAGACTTAGCAACATGTACTTGGCTTTTTAAATCTACTATGCAGCCCTTCAAAAGCTGAAAACAGTGCCCATGGTTGTGAATATTAAGTACCATTCTTGCTTTGCAGAATCAGTCCCTTCATGATCCCAATCATCGGAAGAATTAACAAGTTTAATATGTCACAATAAAGACCCCGGATATTTCAAGTCTAGCTCTACAAGATGCTGAATAACCTCAGATTCCATTTACTGTAACATGGAATCAAAGGCACTTGGTATCTCTTGTTTAGTACCTTAAAACGCTTCCAATCAATGAAGAAAAAGTAACATTGAAGGGGTGGGGGGCAGGGAGAAGCTTTTTTCACACACTACCATCTACCATGGCACAGTTTTATGACACAAAAGCACTTTTGTTTTTGTCTGTTTGTTACTACTACTTGCAACAATGGAAAACATCTTCCCGGCTCTCACTGACAGAAACAACCAGGCTGTTAATTTTATCCCATGAGTAACAAAATAAGAATACTTGGATTCTTCAAGCAAAATATTTACCGGGCATTGTCAATCAGTTCAGCAATCGCTCCAAAAAGGAAGTCATGCGTAGTGCTAAAACAGACATGAAAAATGGTTAAAACTAGAAGCAGTTAGTGATAGCAAATCAAGCACTAGCACGTAAAGTAATGCAAGTTGTACAGTAGACGCCAGGTAGTTCTTAGGGCTGAGTTTCATAGGCCCAGTGAAGGATGAGATTTGGGAACTAATCAGGGATATATCCAGCAAACAGCTGTGTGGGACTGGGGAGATGCTCAGAAAGGTTGCTGAAGCTTTTACTCCAAAGCATATTGCTGTGAAGATCAGCTGCCTAGGACCACTGCTGAGCACCAGTTGATCAGAGAAGTGGTGCCCTTCAAAGTAAAAGCTGCAGCAAGCAGCTGCCTGGCTTATACTTGACTTGGCAACCTTCTGCAAATTAAGTGGTTTGCAAACCACCTTGATACAGGCATGATTTGAGTCCTACTGTAGATTCAGCTCTAGGCAACAACATTCAAAATATGATAAAGGAAGTTTTGCCCTGAAATTCAAATACTCATCTACAATTGTGAAGGATTAAGGTTTAAGACATTTAAACCTTGAACTTCTGGGTCAACCTGCATTTTAAACCCCTATTAAAACTTCATATTCTTTTGTTATAACATGCTTCACACAACCATAGTGAAGTAGTGGCAGTATTTGGTACCGAGATTCCCCCCCGCCCACCAACTTTGCTATGCATAGTGGCACACACACAGTCTGTTATTTTAACATATAAAGTTTGATAGGAAAAGAAAGCTAATTTCAACTTGACGCTGTAGCAAGCAGCAGGACAAGCTTCCAACAAGCCAGAGCTACGCAGATATCCACGTTTTTCTATCAATGAAACTAAATCTGCTCTTTGACTAGTGCAACAAACTCCACTGCTAGAGGATTTACTCCAATTTACTACAGTAGTAAGATTTTAAACCAGCCCTTATCTTCCCAGAACTCAGGATCAGTTCATTCTGCATTCAACTACAGCAGGTGCCTGAAGGATTGGAGCTAGATTAACAGACAGTGTCAAGGGCAGGTGACTTTCTCTACAGAATACTCAATGGCATTAAATACACTTGGACTGTAAGTCACAGCAACACAGCAATAGCTGCTAATTCCGACTGCTTCTTGTGAGAACCCCAATGGTGCTGTTCATGTTACTTTTGTCAGACTTTACATCTTAAAACCCTATTTCCAAGTTTTAAAACATGGCTATAAAAAGAATAGAGGCTAAAGCCTAAATCCCGAATCTTATGCTCTCTGTGCAGTCTTTTCATACTCTTTAGTCTAATGCCTGAAAAAGCATGTGAGATTAGGTAAAGTATTGCTTATTTGTACAGCGCATCTCAAAAACTGCTGTGCTACCTTAAGGAAACTTGACAGCAACATAAAAAACACTGTGTTTTAGCCTGCTTTTTTACAGGAGAAATAATTGCTCTGCATCCTCACTCGCAAAGAATTTATTTCATGGTAAAAGTAATCATTTGGGTTTCTCTTCAGTAGACTAATTGTACTTGGCATTTTCTAGCACCTGTAGAGCTGCACCAATGCTAGAAGTAGTATAAGGGCGCAACTGCACAGAAATTTTTAGGCCACTTGAGTTACAAGAGGGCTTGTTTCACTGCTGGCACAAAGATAGGAAAACACATGCACAGAATATTATGGAAGCAGTTCTAATCTCCCATCAACATTAGCATTTTTACTTCAGGCCACCGTGGCAGCAGACTTGAGTATTGCATTAGACTGGCTTCCAGCATCCCCAGTTGATACCTATAGCTCAGCAAGGTTAGGAAACTTTGGTTAAGACAGCAACAGGCAGTCTACACTAGTGCCCGTTGCTTTATTACCAACCCCAGATTTACAACAGAATGTTACAAGTGGTAGATTTTAAACAAATATATCCCATGTAGTATTTTATTTATTTGAATTACAAGCCACCCTATCCAATGCAGCCTCCAGGGAGGCTTACAATAAACCTTCAAGCTGTGAAATAAAAAACAGGCTCCCCAAACATCCCAAACCACTTAAAAAGTCCACGTCACCGCCCCCACAGACATATGCTCTACTTAAAAATAGATGGAGAATGATCAAATCCCAAGACACTGTATGTTTCTTCCCCCCCCCCCAAAAAAAAACAACAACTCAACTTCTTCAGCTTTACATACAGACCATTATATTTTTAACCTGACTCTGGCGTAGCTACATTCCAGGGGACTTGACACAGGACTGGGGCTTGGATAATTATGGCTTCACTACTGATTTAGATGTCAACTTGATGTATTGCTCTTGGATTAAGTCACTTCAGCACTCAGATGTTCAAGCCTGCACAGTTCTCATTGTTTAAAATTCAAGTTGCAGATTTTCCTCAAGATTAAAACAACCAAATAGGAACCAAACTGGGGAGATCAATTAAGCTGGCAAAAGGAGGGGAAAACAGAAACCTTCACCTCTCTGAGATGATGAAATGAAAGCATATCTATCTTCCTAAAATCCGCAAATGGGAGAAGGCTTTATAAAGCAGCAGCCATTACAGCTTGCTGGTAGCAAACAGGGGGAAATCAACAGTGGTCTTCTCACATTTGCTGTATATATTTTTATCCATGTCTCCAGGCTTGGAATCACAGAAACGTAGGGCTGGGAGGGACCTTGGCAGGTTACCTGGTCTTGAGGATATTCAGGGGTGGGGTTGGTTGGTTTTAAAAACTGCAAGCTCCCCTTTTGTGAGTGAGGTGGGTAGCCTACCCCAGCACTTCTCAATGCTTTTAAGCTCCAGATGCCTTTCCCTAGACTCCAGGTGCCCTTCCAAAAGCCCCTTGGAAAACACCAGCTCTTTGTTTCCATTCTTTTTCTGGCTACAGAAAAAATGAGAGTGCAGGTTTTACCCCTGTGCCAAAGACTGCCCCCCCCCCAAAACAAAACAAAACACAGTGTGGCTGCCTGCATTTAATGCCACAGGTTCCCATGTGAAATCCTTGGTTTCTTAAACAAGATGCCAGCACGCGCAGCAGCACTACCATGCCCTGGTGCCTCATACCACCCCTGAAAGGACATTCAGGAGCATCAGGGCTTTGCAATACCCCTGAACACATCTCCAGCTAAATCAGGGCTTTGTGACACCCTGAAAGGATCTCCAGAAGCACCAAAGCTTCATAGGACCCCATAAAAGATCTCCAGGAGAACTGGGGCCTTGTAGCACCCCATAAAGGATCTCCAGGAGAACTGGGGCTTTGCAACATCCCTGAAAGCATCTCCAGCTGCATTGCGGCTTTGGTGACACCCTGAAAGGATCTCCAGGAGCATCGGGGCTTTGAGATGCCCCTGAAAGCATCTCCAGCTGAATTGGGGCATCGTGACACCCTAAAAGGATCTCCAAGAGCATCAGGCCTTTCAGATACCCCTGAAAGGCTGTCCAGGAGAATCGGGGCTTCCTAGCACCCCAGTAAAGGATCTCCAGGAGAAGCAGTGCTCTGCAACGCCACTGAACAGACCCCCAGAAGAACAGGGGCTTCGGGACAGCTCCGAAAAGCTCCCCAGGCGCCGCAGGACTGAGCATTAGAGCCCAAGGGCCGGGGAGGATCGGGACCGGGCGCTGCCACAGCTCTGGGAGCCACATGCGCACCCCCGGGCGCCGCCAACCCGACCCCTGCACTCACGCGTTGGCGCGCAAATACTCCAGGCGCAGGTGCGCGCGGCACAGCGCCCCGTACCG